TTCCCTTCCCTTCCCTTCCCTTCCCTTCCCTTCCCTTCCCTTCCCTTCCCAACCTGGCATTTCCCTTCCCAGCCCATCACTGCCTTTCCTTCCCAACCTGGAATTTCCTTCTCCTGCCCAACCCACCACTGCTTTCCCTTCCCAACATGGAACTGCCTTTTCCTTCCAACCCATCACTGCCTTTCCTTCCCAACCTGGAATTTCCTTTTCCTTCCAACCCATCACTGCCTTTCCCTTCCCAACCCATCACTGCTTTCCTTCCCAGCCCACCACTGTCTTTCCCTCCTGATCCACCACTGCCTTTTCCCTTCCCAACCCATCACTGCCTTTCCCTTCCCACCTGGCATTTCCTTTCCCTTCCCATCACTGCCTTTCCCTCCTGATCCATCACTGCCTTTCCCTTCCCACCTGGCATTTCCTTTCCCTTCCTATCACTGCTTTTCCTTCCCAACCTGGCAATTCCTTCTCCTTCCAACCCATCACTGCATTCCCTTCCCACCCATCCCTGCCTTTCCCTCCTGATCCATCCCTGCCTTTCCCTCCCAGCCTGGCATTGCCTTGGCCAGGCAGTGCCAGAAGCTCACCAATCTGGGTTTAGGGGAGGGCCCAGCTCAGCCTCACCACAAACACCTTTTGTTTCCAGTCCCATCAGACTGGAATCCACTGACTTTTCCCCTGTGGGTTTTCCTGTTGCCTCTCCCCAGCATTCCCAGGAACAGGCAGTTTGCAGTGTCAGAGCTCCACAGAGCCTGGAGGAATCAGGAATGGCAGAGGTGCAAAGGCAGCCAGGGATGCTGTGGGAAGTGCCTGTGCCCAGGGAGGCTGCAGGAGCTCATCCCAAAACTCTGAGCCAAGGTCTGACCTGTGCCTCAGATCACCCAGCTCGAGGAATTCCTTCCTTTGCCAGGACTCAGTGGATCCTGGACATTCCAGAGCCAGGACACGGGGAAGGGGCAGGGGCTCATCTGGGGTGGTGGTGGAGCACAGGAGCTGGGGGAGAAGGAGCTGGGCTTGCTCTGGGCTTCCAACAAGGAACAGGCAGTCCTGGGCATTCCAGATGGCACTGACTTTTCCTTCCTAACCTATCCCTGCCTTTCCTTCCTGCTTTATCACCTTTCTGGAAAAACCTTTTTCCTGCTATCCAGCCTGAATTTCCCTCGGTGCAGCTGCAGGCTGTGTGCTCTGGTTCTGCCGGTGCTGCCAGGCTCAGGTGGGACCTGCTGCTCTTGGGGGTCTTTTCCCTGCCCAGGTTTGGGGTTCGGGGTGACCCCGGGCACGCCGCAGTTCCCGGTCCGTGCTTGCAGTCCCTGGGAAAGCTGAGGAGATTTCCCAGTGCAGGGAGGTTCTGCTGTGTCGGGGGGCCCTGGCAGCAGGTCGGGGTGATGTCCCAGCCTGGGGACAGGGGCTGTGGCACAGCTGGGGCTGAGCTGAGCAATGCCAGCCTGAGCTGCCAGGAGGGGCCAGCAGAGCAGGGGGGCACTGGGCAGGGGCACCCTCAGCCCCCAGGGGCCTTTCCTCTTGGATTCACCTTTTTTTTTACTTAGACATGGGGTGACTAAAAAACATTTCAAAAACTTATATTCTATTTTCAATCTGATCTAAAAACCAAAACAAGTATTACAATTCACGCTGTCACCATCAACAATTAACTATTTCCTAATTACAGTACACTATAAACATTTTTTAACTTATCAACTTTTACCACTCTATATTATAAATGTCTTAAAACTAATTATTTAAAATTACTCTTTATGAATCCTAATACAACATATCTTTTATAATTCTATTCCTCTAAAATATCTAACTTTTTAATAAAACTATCTTTTAAAACTTAGTTTTAATTCCATTTTTCTCTCAACAATATTTATCCTATTTTATATTATAAAATATTTTATAATATTATCCTATTTCTAATATTTCTATTTCTATTTTTATAATATTTCTAAATTAACTTTTTTTATCTCAAAGTTTACATACGAATACACACTATATAGACTTTCTGTCAAGTTTTTTAAAATTTCTGCAGATTTATTTCCCACAATTTCTTCGGGGTTCATTTGCATTAATGACATAGGGGTGTTAATTAGGAGCCCTGGAAGATGGAGGAGACAATAAACAGAGCCCCAGCCAGCAGGAGACGTGGGCAGGGTTTTTGGGGAGGGATCTGTGCCAGGGGGTTTGGATCAAGAATGGCTCACAGCAGCTTTAGGGACTCGTGGTCTGCCTGAATGTGCAATTTTGGGGGATTTTGTAACCTAGGATGGTGCCAGGACCCAGTGAGGTGGTCCAGGGGCTGGGAGTGGCTTTGGGGATGTGGGCAGTGTCCAGCCCAGGACTCGGGGAATGCAGGATAGCCCCCAGGGCTGCAGCAGTGCTTGGGTGTCTCTAAAAACACCAATAAGAGAGAAATTCTGTTATTCTGGAGCTGTTATTCTGTAATCCTGGAACGCTGGCACGTGGGCCTGGCAGGGAGCAGGAGCTGAAGGGAGGCACCTTCAGAATAATGAATATGGGATGTGAAAATCAGAGAATCCCGGGTTTGGGATGGAGGGGACCTCAAAGGCCACCAGTGCCACCCCTGCCATGGCAGGGACACTGCCACTGCCCCAGGCTGCTCCAAACCCCAGTGTCCAGCACTGGGCACTGCCAGGGGCAGCCACAACAATGAAACAAGACGTTTTTAACAGTGAATGTGAGGAAATAATGGTTAGAGTATTGCCCAGGTGGTGCTGGAATTTGCACCTTTAAGACCAGGACAAGAGTGTTTTTTAAACGCACTCAGAGTGGTGGAAGCTCTGTTATCTCAGTGTTTCTCCCTGCTTCAGCAGATGTGAAAAATGCAGGCAGAAATGTTAATGCAGCCTCGGAGCCAGGGATTTTGCTGGATGTAGTGCTGGAGCCCCAGATGTTCATCCCTGAGGGAATCAGGGATTTGCTTCCCTCAGATTTACAGGAATAAGGGAGTGTCTCTGCAGCCACCTTCACCTGCATTGCTGCAGCCAGGCTGGGTCAGGAATAGCAAAACCAGAAATTCTGCCATTTCCTGCTGGTTTGGGGCACTCTGCATCCCCTGATCTCCCTGCATCCTCCTCCAGGCTGTAGCTGCTGCTCTGCTCCCAGGGGACAGGGGCAGGACAGGGGGAAATGGCCTCGAGGAGGGCTCAGGCTGGACAGCAGCAGGAATTTCCCCATGGAAAGGATGCTCAGGCCTTGGCAGGGAGCTTTGGGGTGTCCAGGGAATTCCTGGGTGTGGCACTGAGTGCCCCGGGCTGGGGACGAGGTGGGGATGGGGCACAGCTGGACTGGGGAGGATTTTCCTGTTCCTTTTCAGGGATTCTGTGTCTGGGTGGGAGTTTCCTGGCTGTCGGAGAGTAATTCCATGCAGATCGTGTTTGGGTTTGGGTGTCAGCTCACAGGCTGCCCTTTTTCTGGGATGACAGAGCGTGGGATGGGGAGTGATGGCACCTGTTGGTTGTGTGTGCTTGCTAAAGCAGAGACGGGGCTGGCATGGAGCACTTCTTCTGGGAGGAATCATTTCAAGCGCTCCATCACCTCCGTGGGGGTTTGGGATAGACTCCAGACCCATGTAATGTAAATTTCTGACATTAAAGCTTTGATTTTAAATGTTATAGAGGTGGCACAGCCACCCCATGGCAGGGCTGGATGGGATATTGGGAATTGGGAATTGTTCCCTGGCAGGGTGGGCAGGCCCTGGCACAGCTGTGGCTGCCCCTGGATCCCTGGCAGTGCCCAAGGCCAGGCTGGACACTGGGACACCCTGGGACAGTGGCAGTGTCCCTGCCATGGCAGGGGTGACCTGTGGGCTTGGCTTTTCCAGGAGTGTTTTTCTGCTGTTCCACTGCAGAGCTGGGAGCAGGAGCAGGATCTGTGGCAGGATGTGGGACAGGATCTGGGACAGGATCTGGGGCAGGATATGGGATCTGGAGCAGGATCTGGGAGCAGGAACAGGATCTGTAGCAGGATGTGTAGCAGGATCAGGATCTGGGAGGAGGATCAGGATCTGGGAGCAGGAGCAGGATCTGTGGCAGGATGTGGGATAGGATCTGGGACAGGATATGGGATCTGGAGCAGCATCTTGGAGTAGGATCTGGGATCTGGAGCAGGATCTGGGAACAGGATCTG